AAGGACTGGGCTCAGGGCAGGGGGCAAGCACAGAGAGAGAGGCATGCATTAGAGAGATACTGTGGTATTCCAGGTCTGAAGTGATAAAGTCAGAGCCTGAACCGGGATAGTGACTGTAAGAACAGAAGGAAAGGATGTGTGAGAGACAAATTATGCAAGAGGGCTTGTTAGGACTTGGAGCCAGGCGAAAATTATGGGGAAGATGGAGAAATCAAAGAGGATCGCAATCAAGGTCTTGATCTTGAAAAAATTATAGTATCATTTCCAGATAAAGGAGATGGTGTTCAGATAGAAATGGGTAAATCTGACTTTGAACACACTGATTTTGATTAGAGGATAATATCTAGGTGAAACTGCTAAGCAATCAGAAACTAGTAGAATGGAAGAAATGGAGAATGTTCTCTGGAAACACTTATCTTTTGTGGGTAGAGGGAAGGGAGCCATTGAAGGAGAGGGAGAATGGTGCTGATGTGTAAGGAAGAAAAGTGACACAGTAAGCAAGGGTCAGATAAGCCGAGAGGAGGAAGATTCAAGCCAAGGGGTGGGGAGAAAGTGGCCAAAAACCAAGAGGGCAGTGGTGGCCACTAGACATTTTTGGGAGCCCCTCACGTTCTCCTGACTTTCCTTTGTCTGAAAGGCACATGAAGAGGTGACAGGGGTTTAGGAGAAAGAGGGTAGCTCTGTGGAGATTATACATCTTGCATTGATGTTTTCATTCACAGTCCCACAAATAAACCTCACTTGGGGTCAGTAGCGCCATCTGTAAATAGGGAAGGCCTATCATTTTATTTTTCCAGTCATTGTCAACATCATCTAGAACCATCAGTGTGCTTTGGCTGCAAATACAGAAATGCAGACTCAGGGTGCCTGGGTGGCTCAGCCAGTTAAGCATCTGACTTTGACTGAGGCCCTGATCTCACGGTTTGTGGGTTCGGGCCCCACATCGGGCTCTGTGCTGACAGTTCAGAGCCTGGAGCCTGTTTTGAATTCTGTCTCCCTCTCTCTCTGCCCCTCCCCTGCTCTCACTCTGTCTCTCTGTCTCTGTCTCTCTCTCAATGAATTGGAAGTTCTGAGGTAGAGTAGATGTCGCCATTGGTTGATTAGAGGCTCAACAAAAATAATTAATTAAGGAACCAAGTATTTCCCATTTCTCCTCTCTGCTGTCCCAGTTACTTCTTCCTCAGAGAAGTAACAAGATGGCTGCCACAGTTCCAGATATCACGGCAGAAGCATAGCTATTTGGAGGAAAAAGAGAGGCCACCTCTTCCTGTAGCTTTCTTGGGGGAGGCAGGAAACTTTGCCAAAGCCTTCCAGCAGACTTCCCCTCATGCCTCATTGTCCAGAATTAGGTCACATGCAAATGCCTGACACAATCTTAGTAAGAGTTAATGGCATTACCTTCAGAGGAATCAGACTCATTCCTGACAATTTCCTCTGAAATACTTGGCTATACAGGTGAGTCCCTGGACAAAACTGGGATTCTGTTAGAAAGGAAGGAGGGGGAATGAACCCTTGGTGGGTAACTCTTAAACGGAGTCTATCTTATCAGTGTCTAGGATTACAAAGAAATGTTTGCTGAGGATCCCTATCTGAAAGGGCTTTTTAATCTAGTTGGTGGTAGACACTCCAAAAAATGACAGCAGTGTTTTTAGTACAGTTGGATACATAGTAGACACTTATGGATTTGTTGCATGAATGTATACCCTAAATGCTGCATGAATAATACAACTATGCACAGAGATTCAGATTTACTACTGAACCAGTTCTAGTGCACAGATTTATCGAATGTAGTGAAGTTCTATTAGCGTACAGAAACCCAAGTCACAATCCCTAGAATTCAAATTCAGGTTTTTTTCATGGCCCTAGTTACCTGCAGTTTTTAACAAGAAGCGTAGGGGGTTCTAGTACGAGCTCCATGGGAGTTAGGGAGGGTACCGTAAGGGTGTGGTTGGAGTAGGTAGGTACAATTTTGTTTAAAGCATCTAATGAATCATCAAGTTAAAGAACTGGTGATTTATCTTCTGATATTTGTAAAGTAGTTGCTAGGATCTCCCAAACAGTGTTTTAGAGTTGTTATCAAAGAACCGTATGTACAGAGGGAACTTATTGTGAAACTTTTCCCTTCTGGGCTTAATTAAGCTTATCAACTGCTGAGGAAAAGGTGAATCAAACAGTGTTTCCAAATTCCAAATTTGAAGGTATTTGTTCTATTTGGGAATGTAATCACATACAATTATCAGGTAGCTGGTTTTTAACGGATTGAAAATATTTGCTCATTCTTATCCTTTCCCATCACCAATACCCCCTGCCCCAATTTCTTTATAATTTATCATACTCAGAAACTTACAGGTGTAGGGTGAGACTATTCTTTCCCTCTGGATTGCTGAATTTATACTGGAAGAAAATCTTAATTTGCCACAGCTCTTATTTAACTGTCTAAAGTAAAGAAATAGGGTCTAAATTCCAACCAGCAGGAACACTCCTGTTTGCTTTCATGTTGCCAATGTCATTTTCATTTATATCCAGTTAGTTTTCACCTCCCTTTCCTAATTCACCCTTTTATTTCTGCATTGTACTCACTCCCTTTGCTGGTGTGTGTGTGTCTGTATTTTATTTTCTCAATGAATGCACTGGTATAGGTACACCATTTGGATTGGATATTTGTAAAGCCTGGTTGGAAACTGTATGTAATAATCATACCTATAATACAAATTATATAGCAAGCATGCTTTCAAAGCACCCTGACTTCCATGTTCTCAAACTTCAAAACTTATGAGGTGCTAACATGCATATCATTTAGCAAGTTAGGAATTTGATATTTCTCTAGGATCATACAGTTAGTAAATAGTGCAGCCAGGGGAAAAACAATTTATAAGCCATGGTGGATTTGGTAGTGTCATATAAGCTGGATTTAATTTTATAGGATTATTATTTTTTAATCCAAAAGATGGATCATCTCATCTGCTTTTATACAATAATAGCTATATCTGGATGCTCTGTAAGTAAATTGATATTGTTAGGGTGTTATTAATGTCAAGGATTGTTTTAGTGCAATCTGGATGCTTAATGTGAATTTAACCTTTAAGAGGGAAGGCTAGGGACCCTGGGTGGCTCAGTCGGTTGAGTATCTGACTTTGGTTCAGGGAAGCCCCACACGGGCTCACTGCTGTCAGTGCAGAGCCTAATTTGGAACCTCTGTCCCCCACCCCTCTCTGCTCCTTCCCTACTCGTGCTCTATTTCTCAAAAATAAAGAACTAAAAAACATTTTTAAAAAGTGAAGGCTATCAGGCACCTGGGTGGCTCAGTCAGGTGAGCATCCAACTTCAGCTCAGGTCATGATCTTACAGTTTGTGGGTTTGAGCCCCACATTGGGCTGTACACTGACAGCTCAGAGCCTGGAGCCTGTTTTGGATTCTGTGTCTTCCTCTCTCTCTGCCCCTCCCCTGCTCACATTCTGTCTCTCTCTCAAAAATAAATAAAGATTTTAAAAAGTAATTTAAAAAAGTGAAGGCTAAAAAGTTTTAACAGTGTACGTGTCTGTGTGTGTTCATGTGTGTTAACAGAAAATAGGTTATGATTATTCACACGGTTCTTTAGATACTGCTTGTATTCAGCTTCTGCAGCAGGTTTTTTTTTTCCCTGGAGGCTCAGGACTCTGTTCCAGTTTCTGAGATCACCCTTTAGGGAGCAGAGATATGAGACCCTCTAGCTCACCATTTTGAGATTCATGACCATCACCCTATGCTTAACAGATCATCTACTACTCTGGGAACTTGGCTACTGGCTTTTTGAGACTCAATTCCCTTTCTTGCATTCCAGTTTTATTTATAAATGATAATGATCATTATAGCTAGCATTTTGTGGGAACTCAATGGGCACCAGGTGCTTGCTTAAGTGCATTATCTCATTTAATCCTCCTAATAAGCCCATTGCGAGCATTATAGATGAGAACACTGAGATTCAGACACAGTAGCGAGTGACAGAGCCCAGACCACCTTACTTGGTGCATTGAATCCCTGCCTAACCCAGTCTGCCTAAGATCATGCTTTACAATCTTCCCTCTATCTAGCTCACTCCTGATAATCACAAAACTCCCATGGGCCCCAGAGAATCAGTTATGCCAAGAATATTTTGTGAGATGTTAATTTGTGTTAACCATACTTTCCCTCCCCCACAAATAAAGTGATATTATGATATTAATTGTAAGTCTCGATAATGCCTAGATTCCAGGCAAGCAACGCAGTCCTGGGGGTGTACATGGGGGCCCTGGGAAGAAAGTGTTGTTTATAATTGTTAGAGCCCCTGCAAGATAAACCTACATCATTCAGTGGGCACAGGTTGACGGTGCTCCTAATGTGGTCACCCCCCCCCCCCAGCTGCTAAACCTGGAGTTCTCATGTCACTTGGAATACTTGAGTCTAGTCTTGTTTACGTAAGAGCTGCCTGAGGGCAGTCAGACTAAAATTGTCCGTTTGTCCATGTCACCGGGCAGGTAGCATTTAGCGACTTCTTGGAATGACTAGACAATGACTGTGCAATGACTTGAGGAATGGGAAAGACATCTGGAGGTGTGCGTTGTGTAGATGAAGGAGCTGGGACCATTCCTTGCTATTTCAGATAAACATGGCGGTAAGGTTAAGGGGATGGGGATCAAACCTCCGATTGTTCTTAGAGCCAACTGGCTGGGGAAAGCGGTCAATTAAATTCAAAGTGCTGGGAAAGTTTAGGAGAATCACAATAAGATGCTCTCCTTTCTGAGGAAGTCTCTGGGGATGATCTAAATGACAAAGATCCTCAAGGTCCTTCCTCCTCCACACCTGCTAAGGTCTATGGTGTTAGTTGCCTAAGTGCTGGGTTGTTCTCCTTCCTCCAACACAAAATCTGTGTGTCCCATTCCAGTGGCTACCCCTTCACCTTTCCCCAGTCATTCTCTGTGCTCACTAGGACCTTTCATCTGGAAGAACCATGCAAGAAGGATAAGGAATTCTTATAAACTTACCGTGATTTATTATGTCCCCACTCTGGCCCCCACAGGCCACTCTAGGGAGACTTGACGAACAGTGAGCTCAACCAAGCGTTCATTATCCTTATCATCTCTGTAACCGTTCTTTGATTAGGGTGGGGGCGAGGGCTTCTGCTCACCCAGAACAACGTCGTAGTCATTATAAAGGAAGCAGCTGAGGCTTGTTGTCAGAATGGTGAGGAAGTGCCTCTGCCTGCAGGAGAGTGGGCCGCCCGGCAACCATGGCCCCAGCTAGTCTATGACACGGCATGGCTTGCAGCCACCTCCCCAGTGACTCCTTGGCAACAGGCTATAAAGCAGAGAGCCATTTATTGCTCAGCAGACATACAAGTTAGCCTACAACCGATTCCCAGGGACCATACAATTTGGCTTATTATCTGTTTTCGTGGACATCTTGCAAAATCCATTAATCTGCCCATGAGATCCTCATCCTTTCTTTTCCGGAAAGCTGTGTCTGGGATGTAGTCCGTTGTCCCTGTCACAAACACTATTGAGAACTGGGAAGGGTCTGAGACTGAACATCACAAGTTAGCCTGGACTGTCAGAGTTTCATGGATGCTAGTCAGAGACACAAGACCCCTGGGTCAGAGACAGGACTTCTACTCACAGCACAGTATAGGGTGGGGGCACCAGCATATTTGTATCAGTTCCCCCACCCTAATTCCCACAGCAGGGACATGGATGGACCCAATGGATGGGGGGACACACAATCGATTTCATTACAGGAGAGCAACCCTGAGCTTAAGGAACCCAAATCTTTCATACGGTACAGTATGTGTGGCTATCCAGCACTTCAGAAGGAGACGTTACCGCTATATTCCGATGCTGTGTGCTATACAAACATCCCTGAAAAGACAGTCTGGGGAAGTTAGTACCTCTACTAATAAGACATGCAGAAATGTGAGAGACCCAGGAAGACTTATTTCCTACAGGGGTCACAAAATAAATACATTTAATAAAATAGTGAGGGCTGACATAAAAGTATTGAAAAGGCACTCAAAATGAGTGTTCATTATTTGTTAATTTTTTTTTAACACAGCTTCCCTTCAGTAAACCCATTGTATTATTAACTGCTTTGAAAGATATGTGTTTGTAAACTGAGGAATTAGATGTAACAATAAATGAGGACCTAAAGAGAACATGCTTATGATTATTATCAGCGGTTTGGGGGCCTGTTTTTTCCTTTTCTTAAAAAATTTAACTGATTGGTTCATTATAACCACTGAATGCTAACTTCCTGTGCTATTACTTTTAGGCTGTTAGTGTAAATAAGATAAAAATTAAATTGATTTGTTCATAGCCAGCCACTACAGAATAGTGCTTGTTCAAAATTTTTCCCACTGTGTTATCTAAAGTTGAAATGAGCAAATTAGAAAGTAATAATAAAGGGAACAAAATCTTGAAATACAGGTGAAAGGACTGAATTGCTTTTTTAAAAGTTTATTTGTTTTTGAGAGGGGGGAGGGGCAAAGAGAGAAAGAGAGAGAGAGAAAGAATCCCAAGTAGGCTCCATGCTGTCAGTGCAGAGCTGATGCAAGGCCTTGATCTCACAAACCATGAGATCATGACCTGAGCTAAAATGACTCAAGAGTGGGTGCCCCAGTACAGAAAAGCTTTTTAAAAAAATATATTTTATCTTCCTACTTCCATGAACATTTGCTGCTCCCAAAAACCTTTCATAACATTTCCAAGGAGATAATGACAAACATGATAATTTCTATTAGTTCAGGGACCGACAATGCAGGGAATGGAAGAAGGGAGCTGACAGGTGTAATTAGTCATTAATCTCTTTCCTTCCCCTCTGTCATTAAATGTTTGAAAATCCTGCCTTTCCTTTAATTATAAAATCTATTTAATCATCTATTGGATGCTTACCACGTACAATACACATTGAAGACTGAGTAAAAGGTGGTCTTGGTTAGGTTGATAAATGGTGAAATTAAATGCCATAAAAATGCCATGAGAATTCAGAGTATAAAAGGACTATGTATGTCTCAGAGTGTGAAGAAAAGCCTTATGCTGCAGAGGTTAAGAACATGGACTCAGGAGCCAGACAGCCTGGGTTCAGAACTTAGAACTGCCACTTGACTAATTAGTCAAGTTACATATGCCTCAGTTTCCTCATATGTAAAATGGGGAGAATAACAGTACTTGTCTCAAAGGGTTATTTTGAGGATTAAATGAGTTAATATATGCAAAGCACACAGAACAGTCCTGGGCACAAAGCTAAGTGCTTTAGAAGTCCAGCTATAATTGCTGTTGTTATATGTATGATTATGGGGCTCAGGAAAAAAAAAAAACCTTTATGAATGAGAAGTCACTACAGGTGACCGAGGTTAACAGCAGGGAGTGGAATGGAGACAATGTCAGACATCCCTTTGTCGACAGCCCAGCTGAGGCACTAGGAGGATGGATGTCCTTGACTCTTGCTCTGGGGAAGATTAGACAAAGACATTCCACACCTGCTGCTCTGAGCCTATGGCAAAGGTTGCATATGTGCATATATCTGAATTGAAAAATTCATGAAGGATGTACCCAATTGATTTTCCCTGAGTCGTAGAATGACAGGTGATGTTTATTTTCTTATTTTTGCTTATCTAGACTTTCTTATTATTAATAATTAATATCTATTATTTGTTATAATAGGAATAAATGAAAACCTGTTTAAAAAACCATTATTCATTAAATAGTTGGCATTTATTGATTTTAAAAAAATTGTGTCGTTTATCTGTTCTTCTCAAGCAAGGACTATAATATGCAGAAATTTGTGACTATGATGAGTCCGGAATTCACTAGGAGGGTAGCATATGGGAATCAATCTCTTAGCTAGTAGGTGAGCCTGGCTGACAACCCAAAGTGACAATGTGACTATAATATTACATGATTCCATTTAAATCTTACAACAACAATAGAGGTAGATATTACTGTCTCAATTTTACAGATGAAAAACTCAGAGTATTATATACCACATTGGTAATCAAGAATTTGGGAATCTAATGGGATGCCTGGTTGGCTCTGTTGGTAGAGCACATGACTCATAATCTCTGGGTTGTGAGTTCAAGCCCCACAGTGGGCATAGAGACTACATAAGAAAAAATAAAGGAAGTAAAACTTCAGAATCTGAGAATATCATGGATCTAGTCTAGGGTTCTCAGCCTCAGGACTAGTGACATTTTGGATCAGATAATTCTTTGTCGTGGGGACTCTCCTATGCATTGTAGGATGTTTAGCAGCAGCCCTAGGTTCTACCCACTAGATACCTGTCCTATCCCTTTCCTCACAGGATGTGACAAGCAAAAACATCTTCAGACATTGCCAATGTCCTCCGATTGAGAACCACTGGTCTATTGTATTCTATTCATTAATTGTGAATGTTAAACTCCATATTCACCATATAAACTTCAAACCGTTTTTAACACTTCACCTTTATAGGGGGTTTAGTCCTTCAATCAAATCTTTAATTGATATTGCTGTTGATGAAAACAGACATTATGATATAATGAACATATTTTCATATAACGGACATAGGATATTTTCCTATCTTTTGAATTACTTCCACTCTAATGTAGATCAAATGAATGAACATTTTTTATTAATGTGTGAGAGAGAGAGCTCGAGTGGGGGAGAAATACAGAGAGGAGAATCTTAAAAAGTTTTTTAAATGTTAAAATTTTTTTTTAACATTTAATTTTGATAGGCACAGAGAGCACGAGTGGTGGGGAGTGGAGGAGAGAGAGAGAGAGGTCGACATAGAATCTAGAACATGCTCCAGGGTCTGAGCTGTCAGCACAGAGCCCGCCGCGGGGCTCGAACCCATGAACCATGAGATCATGACTGAGCAGAAGTCGGATGCCCTAACTGACTCAGCCACCCAGGCGCTCCTAGTGTTTTTTAATTTGTTTTTGAGAGAGAGAGACAGAGAGAGAGAATGAGTGGGAGAGGGGCAGACAGAGAGGGAGACACAGAATCCAAAGCAGGCTCCAGGCTCTGAGCTGTCAGTACAGCACCTGAGGCGGAGCTTGAACTTAGGCCCATTAGATCATGACCTGAGCCCAAGTCAGACACCTAAACAAGTGAGCCACCCAGGTGCCCCTAAAGAGAATCTGAAGCAGGTTCCACACTCAGTGCAGAGCCTGACTAGGGGCTCAATCCCATGACCCTGGGATCATGACTAGACTCAATCAACAGAGACACCCAGGTGAAATGATTTTGATTCCTATTGTGCTATTAGTTTGAAATACGTTTCCCACTTTGTTTAATTAAAACATGTATCTTTTTCCCCTTGAAAAAATTGTGAGGAAAAATATAGATGTTCTCTATACAGTTTTTCAGTGCCTTTAAGCTTAGAAGGCACTTCCTGGTGGGGAGTATATAGTTGGAAATGCAGGGAAAAGTGTGGCATCTCTGTTATACACACTGACATATTTAGCATGCTCCTACGTGTAGTATAGAAAAGGGAGTGTCCCCTTTTTCCAAAATACATTCTCCAACTATTAGAAGCCATTAGAAAGCAATCATGCCCTGCTTATATTAAATGTGCTTGCTACCTTTTTAACTGAGATACGCTAGACCTAGTAATAATTAAGGCATTTATTGAGCACTACGTTACACTGCCTCCCAAGTGTAATATGGTGTTTAAAACATTGGAAAGTGTCGGGAAGCCAGAAGTGGATGCCCTTGAGTTTAACATTTAAGAAAGTGGGATGAAAATTCTGTTTCGGGGCCACACACAAACAAAACCCCCCAAAGGTTTCAAATGCAGACCCTAATATTGCACTGTCCAAACTAATTGCTACCAACCTCTCATGTGTATTTAAATTGTAATTAAGGTGAAATAAATTTTAAAATTCCATTTTGGCCACACTAGCCACATTTCAAGGGTTCAATAGCCACATAAGGCTAGTAGGTATCATATCAACAGCACAGAAGAACATTTCTATCACCAAAGTAGGTTTTATTGGACAGTGCAGAGCTAAGCAGATATTGCCTTCAGGTCCATTTTTGTGATGCCAGATAAAGCTTTTGGAATTCCTCACATGTTTCCAAAGCTGTGTTACAGATCCTCCAGAACTGGTGAAAAGCATCAGAGTGGGGATAGTCTGGTTGGTCGTTACTTTCTGTCCGATATAATACTGAGGCTCTGAGACATTCTGTGGCGAATTTCTACAGGGCCACAAGA